ACAAAAATACAATAGTACCATATTTTGAATGTCTATATAAATTACCACCTAAATCCATTTTATAAAGCATGAACACACTTTTTCTTTTTATATGGAGATTATTTCATCTTTAGATTTTACTGACTTGAGTGCTGAAAATGGATTAAAAGGTATAACCTAGTAGAGCACTTTCCTAACTATTACCACTTTTTAAATCTAAACAAATTTACTCTGTTCACCTCATAAGGATAGTAAACTTAATACTATAGTTTGTTTGCAATTTGGGTTTTCTTAAAATGTGGGAAATCAAATGTATTTTAAGTAAATTAAGTCATCATGTAAGTTGTTGCACACAGCTAAATGTCTTTGTACCAGTGCTTCCATTTATTTATGAAGCAGATAAGGCCCAAGCAATAATATAACTGAAACCTGATACTTGCAAACAGATCACCTATAAGGCTAAAACTATACTTGTTAAACCTCTGACCAGAACTGAGATAGCAGATAAGGATATCAATCAAATAAGATTATTTCCCACCCCCTACCCATGTGAATACTTATCTACTAAAGACCAGTCTACAAATAAATAATAGAAAATAACAAACAATAAAGTCTGGTCTCCTTAGCTTTTATAGATATTAAATAGATATGCCATGAAAGAGGTATACGCATCAAATAGAACACTAAAATAGAAATAATTTGAGATTATTATAAAAATTTAGGGAAATCATAGAGATTCACTCTGGCAATATATACAGAAAATATCTTTGATAAAGAGAAGACACATACTATTTTTAAACATTAGAGAAATGGTTTGGGATTCTCAGAATATAAATTTACCAATCTAATCCACAGCAATTGTTGCTGTGTGACACAGAAAAGGTGGGTCATGTCCGGACCTAGGTACAAATCTCAGACAGCATAGTTCAAATGAAGGGTTGGGAGAATACAGGTATGTATAATTCAGCTCTTAGCTGTTAACTTTAACCTTTAATTGTTAGTTATTAAAGGAAATGTACGAAATGTTATTTTTCTAGTTCATTCAGCGTTTCTAAGTCCTAAACACTGAAATACAGACAATAATACATTTTACTACATTAAAAAAATTCTTAATGACAGAAATGTCTGAAAGGTGAAACTATGAAGAAAAGCATTCTTTGTATACATGCTATAAGTATCTTTTCCAAAGTATTCTTTAACTGAAATATTTAAAATGTCTTTAAAGTCTACTATACATAAATAAAGCATTATAGTGTGTATATAAAACCCATCCCGCAGTGGCTTATGCTAACAAAATAAATAGAATTTTATAAGACATGGCATAAGTAAACATTGACAAATGTATCATATGCAAATTAATTAAACCATACATCTTTATACTATGACTGCAATATGCTTCAGTAAAATGATTCCTTAATTACATATCGAGGTGTATTTCTTACACATTTTCAGTTAGGAGTAAGGATTAGGCATATTTTTGTACATACCCTGCATTACCCATATAGCTCTAATCAAGATGCACACTGAAGAACTAATTTTCTAGGAACATTTCTATAGATGATAGAAAGTAAACACCAGTAATGCAGCACACTTCTACCTAGGTTTACAAATCTGGGTCATGTGGCCAACTTTGGAATTGAAAACAATATTAGGTGAAAAATGACTCTAAAAAAGTCACCAAGAATTCTGCAGCACATTATTTTTTTGCAATATCAACTCAAAAGTGTAATGATTGTCTTACTAAAAATGTATCTACAAAAATAGTTCTTTAAGCTATTAAAAGTAACTTTCTGAATTTGTGGAAATGAACTGCTACAAGACAAAAGGCTACTTTTTGAACATTATTATTAAACATATCAATCTTGTTTATTCATTATGCACACGTTATGATTATCAAATGTGTCCTACTGCATTATAAATACGATTCAAGAGGTGCAATATACGATTGTATATAAAATATGTTGCTTCACCTACCAGTGATGATCAGGATGATCCTACATGCACAATTCAAGAGAAATTTGTGGCTTCCATGAACTAAAACGGTACGGGCCAACCCTTTTGGCCAGCATGCCATAAATTAGACCTGGCACCCTCCTGGAGTGGCTCTCTGATCCCCTTCCCTTGCCTGATCTGCTGCCCTCCTCTCTGCTCTGTCCCAATCTGCTGCTGTGCTTGCTGTGTGCCCTTCCCCAAATCTCTTGCATATTTTCTTTGTTCACAACAGGAACTAGAAGCATTCATGTCCATTATATTTATATTTAAACAAGTAAAGCTAGAGAACTTGCTCTTCTAACTTCTATAATGCTGCTGTAAGAGTGTTTGGCAAAAAGTCCAGGAAAAAAATCAGACTGTTTTAAAGAGTACTCTGAAACCCTTCTACCACTGGTTGAGAACAAAAGGACAGTGCTAACCAATTATAAGAAATCTCCCAACAGCAGAACCCTGAGAAATCCAAGAAAGGGTCAAAAAGCAATGCAATAAGAGGCTATGAGGTGTGCCCAAAACTTTTGGCTGAAACTCTGTGATGATATTCAGAAATCAGATGACACAGGTGATAGCCATGGAATGTACAGAAGCATCAAACAAGCAACTGGTCGAGTCAAGAAGAAAACAGCTCCACGCATATGGAAATGTCACAACTGATAAACAAAAATAACTTGAGCATTGGATTGAACATTATGGAATTTTATATTCCAGCGAGACCAAAATTAAACACGAAGAGCTTGAAGGATTACCACAGTTCAAAGTTATGATGCATTTTGACAATAAGCCTATATTAGAAGATTTGCAGAAAGCCATTAAATTGATTCCTGGAACCAAGGTATCAGGCAACGACTGTTTGCCTGCTTGAAATCAACAAATGTGCCAACTCCAAATTACTTAAAAGCTTCATGATGTTATACTGCTCTGTTGGAAAGAGGAAGCGGTACCACAAGATTTTAAAGATGCTTGGTTTGTACAATTATAGAAAAATAAAGGGGAGAGAAGTGACTATGACAACTATAGAGGTATCTCCCTCTTGAACATCATCAGAAAATTTGTCACTTGCACCATGCAGCCTAGTTTACAATCTTTAGAAGAAAGAATTGATCCTGAAAGTCAATGTGGTTTTCACTCAGGACACTCCACCTTATATGATATTTTTAGTTAAGCAACTGCAAGAAAAGTGTAGAGAACAAATTAATATCATTGTACATAGCCTTCACCGATCTGATGAAGACCTTCAAACAGACAGGGCATTTTTACTGTTCTGAAGAAACTGGGTTGTCCTCCCAAACTGCTGAACATCATTTGCTCATCAAGGCATGAAGGAAACAGTAATGTATGAAAACAAAGAATCAAACACCTTTGACACCAACAATGGGGTGAAACAAAAATGTATTTTAGCCCCCGTGCTTTTTAAGATCTATTTTTCGTTCTGGCGTCTTTATGAATTCAAGCACAGCAATGACAGCATTTATATTCAAACCAGATTAGATGGAGGCTTGTTCAACATTGCAAAGTTTAGGGAGAAAACCAAGGTGAAAGAACTGGTATTGTGGGACTTCCTGCTTTCAGATGAGACAGCCTTGGTTGTCCACAGCGAATCTTTCCTGCAAAACCTCTTGGGCAGATTTTCATAGTTTCATAGTTTCTAGGGTCGGAAGGGACCTGAGCAGATCATCTAGTCTGACCCCCTGCCCTGGCAGGAAAGAGTACTGGGGTCAAATGACCCCAGCAAGATGTTCATCTAACCTCCTCTTAAAAACCCCCAGGGTAGGAGCCTGCACCACTTCTCTTGGAAGTTGGTTCCAGACCCTAGCTGCCCTGACCGTGAAGTAGCGCCTCCTGATATCTAACCTAAACCTATCCTCTGCTAGCTTGTGACTGTTATTCCTGGTCACTCCTGGCAGTGCTCGGGGGAACAGTGACTCCCCCAATGCCTGCTGATCCCCCCTGACTAGTTTATAACAGGCCACAAGATCCC